AGCAGTACCTAACGCACGTCGTTATCGTTGCTCCGTTAATTACCGCTGTCATCAGTCGATCTTTTTTTTTCTTCTTCTTTTTCAAGTCGACTTAAAACCGCAAACGCAAAAATAAAATAAAAAACTACATAATAGTTTGTTATGTTGTATATTTCATTTTTATTATTCGTCACAAAACGTTATAATTCTCTATTATTATGTGAGCTGAGTTCAGTACTAAATAATTTCAAGWGTCTCATTACCTAAATCCGTCGCGTAACCGACCGCGTCGCGCAACGGCAGGTGACCTTTGCCCGCGAGATAAACATGCCTAAATCAAATCACCAGATATAAAAACTAATAATACTCGTATAAAATAATTAGTAGTATTATTAATAACAGTAATAGAAACAAAACTATACAGGATGCTCGCCTAAACAGCCCATCAAATAAATCCGATTCTAACAGCAGAAATAATGATAGCCGATCATCTCAAACAAGTCAAACGAATAAACGTAATCTTTCCAGCTCTTCAAACTCAGCATCTGAACCATCAACTCCGAATATAAATACGAATACTATTCAAAAAAATCATAAGAAAAAAATGTTTGCTACACGTAACAGATTTGAAATTCTTTCGCAAGAAGATGTGTTTGAAACCACTTCTACTACTGAAAATATACCCGACTCTCATCAAACTAATACTGATGATGAAATTATAATCATTAAGCCTCCTCCTCCTATATTTGTCAAAGATGTCGAAAATTATCCTGAATTATGTACAGCCCTAATTGAGCTAATTGGTGTAGACAATTTCATGTGCAAGTCTACAACAAACTCATTGAAAATACAAACCAAAGATCCCAGTGCATACAGAGCATTAATACAATTCCTTAAAACTGAAGAAGCTGAGTATCATACTTATCAACTGAAAGAGGACAAACCACTTCGGGTAGTTATTCGTAATCTTCACCAAACTACACCACTAACTCTAATAAAAGAGGAGTTAGAAGTTCGGTGTTTTGAGGTAAGGCAAGTTACAAATGTATTACACAAAGTTAGCAAAAAACCCCTTCCATTATTTTTCGTCGATCTTGARCCAACACTGCAGTTTAATGAAATTTTCAAACTTTCATCGCTACTTCATTGCAAAATTAAAATTGAAGAGCCATATAAATCAAAAACAATCAGCCAATGTTTCAACTGTCAACAATACGGGCACACCAGAGCATACTGCGRTTACCATYCCCGTTGTGTTCGTTGTGGAGCGGACCATCAGTCATCTGCATGCCCTAAATCACGAGATGCCCCTCCAAAATGCGTTCACTGTTCCCAAAGCCACCCAGCCAATTACAAAGGCTGCACAATCTACAAGGAACTTCAACGTCGTAAAATACCCAGCGCACCAAGTAATCGTATAGATAATAATTATAAAACTAAATCTAATGTACAAGGTAGTCACCCACTTAATCACACTCATACCAATCCACAAAAGCAAACTTACGCTCAAGCTACGTCCAACATTCCAGCTAATGACACATCGCCTCCTATTAATGAAACTCATCCTCCTGACTTAAATAAATTAATGACCAGTTTTTTAGATGAATTTAAAACTTTAATTAACCCACTTATAGCTCTATTGACTAATGTAATATCCAAGCTCCTTGACAAATAATGGCTAATAATTATAATAATTCTGTCACTGACAACTCGCTCTTAATATTACAATTTAACGCTAATGAACTCAAMAACCATGTCCATGAACTCGAATCTGTACTTATCAACAAACGCATTGATATCGCTCTCATTTCTGAGACACATTTCACAAAATATTCGTATGTCCATATTCTTGGCTATACATTAATTAAAATAACACATTAACTAAATAGAGGTGCTCGAGCACGCCACGTACCAACTCGCCGTATGGTGAACCCACTCACGTCTTCATGTGCGTTTCATCACGCAATGATCACAACTGGTAAACCCTAATTTCTAATTAAAAATTAAAACATTAAAAAACAAATCATCCAGATAACACAGCGCACGGTGGTGCTGCTATTTTTGTTAAATCCAYTWTAGAATTTTATTCCTTGCCTAGTTTTTCACAAGCTTATCTCCAATCCTGTGCTATTAAAGTAAAAATAAAAAATACACCACTCACTATTGCTGCCATATACTCTCCCCCTAAACATATCGTTATTCGTTACTAATATACAATTCTCTGACTATTTTAGCACATTTAATAATCACTTTATTATAGGCGGTGATTTCAATGCCAAACATCAATCATGGGGGTGTCGAGTGAATAACCCACGTGGAGTCATCTTGTATAATTTTACCAATTTAAAAAGGTTCAAAGTTCTAGCCCCACCTGATCCAACGTACTGGCTTTCATCTTCCAAAAAAAACCCTGATATTCTAGATATATTTGTGACTAAAATACCTAATAACCTATTTACTACTACAAAAAATCTTCTTGATTTGAATTCTGATCATTCATCAGTGCTCCTAAGTCTTAATACTTCTCCAAATTATAAAGAATCGAACAAACTATTTAATAAGTTTACAGATCATTCTAAGTTTATTGAACTAGTCGATAAAGAAATAAAACTAAACATTAAACTAAAATCACCAGATTACATTGATTTAACGATCCACAATCTTACCAATGCCATACAAACTGCAGCCTGGTCAGCTACAAATACTACTCCAGCACCTCCCTCATCAAATCCTTTACCTGTGTACATACGTAATAAAATAGTCGAAAAACGGAGAGCAAGAGCACTTTTTAGCGCACTCGACTCCCTTCCCATAAATTAATTTACAGTAAATTGGCTAATTCCCTTAAAAAATGCTTGCTAAACTTAAGGCAAATGTTTGGCAAAATCACTTAATGAAGCTTACTCCCAAAGATGGTAGTCTCTGGAGAGAAACTAGGCAAACACTTCGCTATAAATCACCAAATCTCCCTTTAAAAAATCAGATGGAAGCAGTGCCGGGTTAACGAATATGCCGCCTGGGGGCAGATTTTAAAATGCCATCCTTTACAAACCTGTACCTATCATAAAAAAAGTAACGTACAAAACAACAGTGTYAAAATTGTTTAATTTATATATATTTATAAGCATATCGTAAAATCAGTAGTTTTAGTATCATTATAACTTTTTCCTAGCTTTCTRTACAGCAAATTCTTTAACAAAATCATTCCAATCCATACTTTGAAGGACACAATTCTCAATATTCATTAGAGCAGTGGCGCCAAAGTCCAAAATGTTACCTATCACATCAGACACCTCCACATAAAATTTTGACACCCACCTATTTCATATAATTACCTTACCTTTAGTTTTTATGAAATATTATCAACTTTTAGTTTACAATTGACAGTAATGTCTAATACATGCAATTATCCATATCGTAATATATTTAGAATGACAAACGTAACTCTCCTACCTACTAAAATCACCTATGACAGCTGTCATAGGTAAATATATATTTTGGCGCCACTGCATTAGAGCCAACGATGACATCGTTTCATCTGATAATTGAATGGTTTCGTCATCGGTTTTTAACGATTTTTCAATTAATACACCAGAATCGTGTTTCTGGAAATTTTAAAAGATCATATTTTAGTAMCTAATCTAAATTTCACAATCCACGGGTAAATCAATTTAAGGTTAGGTTAGGTTATCAAAAAATACAGAATATTTTATTCTGTAAAATAAAAACATAAAACATCATTCTTACAATATGTAGGTAGATTATGATTGAATAAATTTATTGGCAAATCAAAACCGAATAAAACAAATAAAAACTTACATTCTGCAGATTAGCAAACTATTTTAACTATTTAACAACAATATTTGATAAATGACAAAATTTAAAAAAATATTTTAAATAATCAAAGTAATAATAAAGTTAAAAAAAAAAAACTTTAAAACATTGGATTTGGATAATTGGATACAAGTATACAACAGTTAATAAAAATTATTGCATAATATTATGTTAAATAATGTTGATCCGCCATTTATATAAAATAGTCAATAGAAAAATGAAATCTAATAAAATACAATCGTAGTCTGAAGTATTTAAAATTAATTATAAATTCGTTTTAAAAACTTTAGCATAAATATTATCGCGACTATTCATATTTTATATTCTCCATTATTCTTTAATAAATAGGTAAGTAAACACTACTATATAATATTATTAAATACGTAAGTTCTTACCTTTTTGAAAAAACTTTGAATTTTAGGCGTCTGAGAAATAATTAGTTTGTCATTTTTATTTTTTTCCTCAGCTCTTTTGCGAAATTCAGCACCACTTAACTTTATGCGTTTTCCACTCATATTAATTGATGAAAAACTGCTGTTAGGAAATATTAATCCCGTTTTTTCAATTTTAAATAAATATGACTTGACACTTGAYAGTTGACGAGACTACGAGTACGTTCTACTACTACGAGACCCGAAAGACGAACAGATAACAGATAACCGAACCTATAATATAGCCATACGGGTATGAAACAAACACGACTATATTATTTACTGCTTTAAACATATTTAATATTGTGTAAAATATTTCTACTGGAAAAAAATACGATAATATGAACAAAAATAGAAATGCGTCGCCGCTTGGCCGTCGGTTCGAGCGCTATAATAATAATATGGTCTTTCTATTTTATTAATAACACGCTGAACGTTCACGTAATAATTCTGTGGTAGGCGATTCGATATAAATATATAATATAATATTACTGTTATTATTTGTTATACACATTTTTCAATGAATGATGATTCTTCCTAAAAATTAAAATACATTAGAAAAATTCAAAACTCTCGTTTTCACTGTTAAGAATTTGCCGCCCGGGGCAACTGCCCCCTTTGCCCCCCTCCCCTTAACCCGGCACTGGATGGTAGCCTTGCTATCTCCGACCTCGAAAAAGCTGAACTTTTTAAGGAGCATCTTTCTCARACTTTTCAACCACACTCCGACATAATTGATTAATTTAACACGAAAATATGAATGCGGTAGAAACGTTCTTAAATTCTTCCCTTCCTATATCTTTCCCTGTCAAGTCTTTTACTCCAAATGGAGTAAAATTTGCCATACTGAAATACTCACTAAACAAATCGCCAGGCTATGATCGCATTACTGCGGAAGTAGCCAGATCTCTTCCCACTAGAGCTATTGTCCACATCACTCACATATTTAATGCTTCACTTAGACTTTCTTATTTTCCTCTACTTTGGAAATTCTCCACTATAGTCTTGTACTGTTGTTCCCTAAACCAAATAAACTGCCGGACATTCCATCTTCCCATCGACCAATCAGCCTTCTTCCATTTTTCGCTAAAATCCTTGAACGATTAATTCTGAAACGTATTATACCCATCATTACTGTAAAGAATATTCTTCCAAATACCCAATTCGGGTTTCGAACGTCTCACTCAACCATAAACCAATTACACAGAGTCGTAGATGCCATCTCGTATTCCCTGGGAAAAAAAACTTTATTGCAATGTGTTTTTCTAGAAATTTCACAAGCCTTCGATAGGGTGTTGCWCGATGGCCTTTTATATAAACTTAAGAAATTCCTTCCACCCACTTACTACCTACTCATCAAATCCTATCTAACGGATCGAAATTTTCAAGTTCGCTACAGTTCCGCTCTCTCTGATATAGGTCCTATAAAGGCTGGCGTACCTCAAGGTGGTATCTTATCTCCAATTCTTTATAATATCTTTGCTTCTGACCAACCTACTACCACCAATACATTAGTAGCTGACTACGCTGATGACAAAGCGTTAATATCCATCAACAAAGATCTAATCATAGCATCAATAAACCTACAAACTCACCTTAATGCTATGGAAAAATGGTTCAAAAACTGGCGGTTTAAAGTTAACCAGAATAAGTCAGTTCACACAACATTTACCCTCAGACATACTCCATGTCCTGGTGTAGTTCTATACGGCCTTCCGATTCCCTACTCTCCAAAAATCAAATACCTCGGCCTTATGCTTGATCAAAGATTAACGTGGGCTCATCACATCAGAACTAAAAGAYTAGCTTTGAATCATCGWCTYCGCTTACTTAAACCTTTACTATGCAATAATAAATACACATCCACTAAAACTAAGCTTCTTATATACAAAACTCTATTAAAACCACTATGGACCTACGGCCTTCAACTTTGGGRCAATGCGAAAAAGACAAATATTCAGAAAATCCAAACCTTTCAAAATATTGCACTTAGAAAACTGATGAATGCTCCGCCCTATGTTTCAAATCATACACTACACACTGAATTAAAACTCAAAACAATTAATGAGGAAGCAAAAATATTTTATAAAAGATTCCATTGCCGCCTAAATAATCATCCAAATCATCTTGTAAAAAACTTGGCCACTCCCACGATACCTGGAAATCCTCCGAGTCGTTTGAAACGTAATTGATGCCGTGATTTCTTAAATTAAATTAATTACAAAAAAAATATATATAAAATAATTAACTTATGTTATTAAAGTAAACTATTCAARCTAAAAGAAAGTKTCATCAATGGGTGGCTCCTTTCAACAACATTTCATGACCTGTTAACTTTTATAATATAATCCTATTGTGTCTAGTATAATTTATGATACAGATTGTTTATTTCTTGTAAAAATAAAATAAATATATTATTATTTAAAAAGGAATATCATGTATTTAATAAAAAGAGGTGCATCAAAAATTATACAAAACTAATTATTAATTATCACTCAAATTAAAATCTTGCATTACAAAATAAAAATAAAAATAAGATTACATAATATTAAACTGATTCGTATAACTTTCAAGTTAAATCCAAGTCAAAACTCATATTATTATAAAACATTTTATAATAAATATAAGTTTTACAAGAAAAATTAATAAATAAATATAACTAGGTATTCAAACCAAAGTTTTAATATTATTAGGTATTTATAAACAATTTATTGTATCTATTTAAAGGGTAATAATACCTTACGTAGGCCCATCGTTTACTGCAGTCAGAACYTAAAACACAAATTGTAATTTGATTTCTTATTTCAGACATTTGGCAACAGGAGAATCTTTTCGGTCACTTGCTTTTCAATATCGAGTTAGTCATTCCTGGATAAGTGTCATACTAAAAGAAGTTGCTGAGACCATTATTAAAAGGATATTTGAGTTAACTATACCGTCGCCTACAGAAAATCAACTAAGACAAAACAGTAGTCAATTTTTTTCAAAATGGAATTTCYCGAACTGTGTCGAAGCGATAGATGGGAAACATATAATAATAAAAGCTCCCAAACGAAGTGGATCATTATATTTTAACTATAAAGAGTACTATTCAATCGTTTTGCTAGTAGTCGTTGACGCGGATTGTAAATTCACTGCTGTTGATATTGGTTAGTTAGGTAGAGAGGGAGATGCTGGTATCTACCTAAAGWGTAAAATAGGGAAAATTATAAGAAATAATACATTCAATATACCAGCACCAAAAGTAATACCCGGAACAATGTCATTGTAGGGGATAAAGTTTTTGCACGAAAACCTGATGAAACCTTATCCAAGACAGCAATCTGTACATGATCAATAAAAAGCTGTATATGATTATCGACTATTTAGAGCTCGGAGAACAACTGAAAATAATTTCGGAATTTTATGCAGTTATTTCAGACTCTTTTTCCTACCTATTGCTACTGCCCCAGAAACTACAGACAAATTGATTACATGTGCATGCATATTATATAATAGGGAGCAAAAGTACTTGGTCCAGGTCAAAAACATTTTGATGATTCACTTCCACTACCAGCTGAAAATGTAATCCCCATAACAGAACACAATGTGCGTGCCAAATGAATCACACTTAACTTGATTTCTACTAACTCTAACCCATTTATAATAGAACTAAAATTTTATTATAAATAAAAATAATGTTTAACTGTAGTATTAGTTATTAGTATGATAAACAATGGTAGAATTTAGAAATAAATACAAAGTTAGCAATGACTTTAGCAATTTGGCACTACTGCTAAAGTATAATATAATCGGGTCGTCATGATAATATTAACACCGTGTATGGCCCTATGGGCACAGATTAGATATAATATGATATCATATTATCACTAGTATCAAATAAAGAGCCTAGATAATAAAGGCTCTTTAGTATCAAGTATGGGTAGTATGTGAGTGTGTCAGCGATCTACGGACTAATAATATATAATCACATATATATATTATTAATAATAACCTATGATAATAATTTATTATTATAGGCGGAGCCACAGGGCGTGTTGGGTATGCAGCAGCACACCCTAATCAACTCCCCCACCCGAAAATTTGGTATAATTTAAGTCGAGCAAACATTTAGAGGTTACATTTTAAATGTTGCATTATTAATATGATTTCCACAGAACAATCTATGTTCTATGCACAGAACTACCGAAAAATTGATTTTTATCACAGATTTGTATATAGAACCATTACTTATTAGTAATAAGTTATTATAAGTTATTACTTACTAGTGATTAGTATAGATATCTGTGATTTTTATAAATAATTAACTGCTGTCTTGTCATATTGGCAACACTGCGCTGCTACCGATTTGCGATTAGGTACTTGTTTTGCTATTTATGATTATGATATCAAGTAACGATTAACGGTTGACAGTTGTTGTGAAACGTGTAAGTCGATTGCGTCAACGATAAACATAATACAATTTGATTTGTATCGAATTTATCGTTGTGTTATTAATTATTAGATAATATTTAATATGCTTGTGTCTTGTGATTTGTATATGATCTAACATTTCGGAATCTGAAAAGACTACAAAACGTAAAGGTGGCGCAGAAAAAATTCGAAATAAAAAAAAAGAATTCTTAAAAACTATGCAAAAATGTGTGGTGACATTCGAAATATGTTCTTCAATTCCAAGGTATTAATATTATATACTATTACCATTAGAGATTTTTTATTTATATATTATTGACATTATTTTACAAATTTATACTTTACAACCAAATTATTATATTATATAAATTGACAAATTGTATTGTATTCCACGTTTATAATGAGATTTTTTATTTATATATATTTTTCAGACACACCAATAATTGTGTTAGGTATAATAATAATTGTACTATATTAAAATTTGTTATACCTTACTAACTTATTATGTTTTTTTAGGCTCATGACAATAAAATAATTGATAAATCTAAAGAACACCAAAAAGAACAGAATGCTGTAAATTTATCCAAAGTAATAACAATTTTAATGATCATTTAATAATTATGATATATGAATAATGATATTTTAAATGTTTAATTTAACGATGTTTAAAGGGTGAAAATTGTCCAAGTTCCAGTGCAGAGCCACAAAATAAAATGGATGATACTTTAATCCACGGTTAAAATATTGTATGTGAAGTTAATAGTTAATAAATACCTAAATGTTACTACTTACTARCAAATTAATTATACATACCTAATACCTATGTGAATTGTGTTTTATCAATAGCAAAAATATACATTGTTAGTCTTGTATAGTGTTTAGTATTTGTATATGTATTATTATTATTATTTATGTACCATGTCTTAGGAATACATTTATATTAATCATTAATCATAACTTTTATTACCAAATAACTGTGTTTAGCTGCATCTAATTAACTCATTTGAAATCAGCAATGAATGTTTTAGTATACCTATTTGAAATAAAAATAAAATTTATTTTGAATTATATTTATATAATTATAATAAAAATATTTATAATTATATTTAGGTTTAGATTAGGTTTAACTTTAGAAGTAAAGCCTAGTGCATGTTTAAATGTTTCTTTCTTTGTCTTTATTATTTATTAAGATCAACATAATCAACATACATTAATTATAATAACCAAAAGAATACGGGGTTTTTATTTTTAGATCCATGAACCACATAATGATTGTAAAAATAAAATAACTGATCCCATGGACCCAGTGATACCACTGTCATCTAATAGACTTGGAAAAAAGGAAAGGATTAAGAAAGGACCTAATCAGCCAATGAATATACAATTTCCTCGTAAAATAGTAAGTACTTCTAAAAGAAGTTTTTATTCAAAATGGTATCAAGATTATAATTGGTTAGAGTATAGTCAAACGTTAGATGCTGCATTTTGTTTCCCTTGTCGCTGTTTTGCCCTTTAATTAACATCGAAAAGAGGGCATAATGATCTAGCATTCAGTAAAAAAAGGATTCACTAATTGGAATATAGGACCACAGAAATTGTGTGTGTGCTTATCAAACAAGTGAAACACACATAGCCAGTATATTTTCAATGTCTGAATATTTAAAAAATAATCCAATTGATGTCATACTAGAAAATGAAAAAGTGAAAAAATTTGTATATACATTTTTGGGCGGACAAATGTCAAAAAAAAAAATACTTAGAAAATTTGAAAATTTAAATTGTCTATAAGTATAGCTATAGTATAGTAAGTTATAARCTAGTTCAAAACCCTCATGCTGATAAAACGTAGACTCGAACTTTTAGGTACCTAACACTATAATTRATATTAATGGTTTTATAAAAAGTTAAATTGAAGGTTATTACTGAATTTTTTTTTATTTTTTTAGTGGGAAAGGTCCGATTTTATTGTTGGGTTCCATTTTTGGTTTACATACTCTGCCAATGAAGTTTGCRCACGCTTATGATTATATATAATATTATGTCCATTATAATATAAAAGTCAGACCCAATTTATATTATCATAATATTATTGCATTATAGTATATACACTCGCACATGTATTTTACATTTTAAACATTCTRTTTATTTAATTATTTTATACTTATTAGATTCTGAACGAAGATGACTTGTCAGTCTAGGATATATTATATTTAAAAATTGTTATATATTTTATTTTTAATTAGGATGGGTTGAAAATACCTTTTTAATTATGACAAAAATCAAAATTTTTTTGATAGAAAATCGTGTTTTTACGCGTAAATATATTGATTTTGTGAAAATTAAAACTTTATACAGTTTAAACACTACATTTTTTTAATTGAATAACCCTCAATTATTTTTATAATTATTCTAAGCTTAACTTATGGACAGCATAGTATTATATTTTCAATTCTTAGCTGTTTATAGTAAAATGTTTGGCGGGGGGGGGTCCTACAATTTTTTCGAGCCATTTTCTTAATTTGGGCCCTCTCTTAACAAGACATGTACATATTTTAATAAATTATAATGCATAAATAAACATTACTTAAAGTTTTTTATTTAATATTCTAATATTAAAATGATAAATTTATAATAACGTGTGCCTATTACTTAAAATACTAAACTCATTTATAACCAAATCTACTTCAATATTAGAGCAACCGGTTTTAGTTAGCATGATTTTAATTTAAAAAAATAAAATAACATTACAACGTTGGTTTAGTAATCAGCGAACACTGGACAGTGATCCTTGTAGAATAACTCGTAAAGTCGTAAATAATATTTATTTTAGTTAACAGTCAAATCATAATATTTCAATGTTAAAATTATTATAGCAAATAGTAGATATCAGTTTGTTGTGTTTATTTTCGATTTTACAAAATGTAAAAATAACGCCATAACCCGTATAATGGTCTCTAATAGCATAACTGTTCTATGCTAATAGTAACACGGAATTAAATCACATATTTATCAGTGAATAGTGATATTACTAGTTCCAAATTATATATAATATTTCATTAAATAGTTGGATCTAAAATTTATTTTTAGATAATTGCATTATTTATTTATTATTTTTTATTATTTTTACTTTAGTATTCGATAACATCTAGCAGGCAACAACTAGCTGTTGTAATCATAATAAGTTTTACCATGCAAGTTTAAAATATTTTACGTTGTATTATTTATTTATCCCTAAACATATATATTTTTTTTAATCAAATATTTATATTTTAGAAAAAATAACATTTTTTTTCTATTAAAATTAGTTAAAATACGGACCCATATATTATATAGTATAGTATAATAACTATAGTAACTATATTACTTAAATTTTAGGGCCCCAATTACATGTCGGGGGGTGCTCAGGCACGCCCAGAATCCCCTGTGCACATGCTTATGCTAATCTACCTAAATATTTAAAAAAAAAACTTTCCTATAATAGACATATGGAAGCTGCTGCATTATACCCCTGGTCAACCGCAGAATCATTGATGCGTTTGGCAAGGAAAAATTCATTGCCCAGATTGCCAGGCAATTTACGAGAATTAGCAACATTATTTGAGGATGGACAGCTCAACAGATTCGCATGTTGTAATAATGTTTTATTCAAAGGTTGTGTGCAGGATACTGATAACAAGACAAGTATAATATTTGCCTGCACACAACTTATTAGATCGGTTCTTATGAATGATATCCAAGAAATCCATGCAGATGCAACGTTTAAAGTTATTCCTTCAAACATGGGTTACCAAATGTTAACACTACATTGCATGGTTCAAAATTATGTAAGATAACTTTAAGACTTCTATGATAAATTAAGACTTAAGTAGAAATCATACTGGTTACTGGTATTTGCKATCAATAGACTAAACTAAAAATAATTCCGTACAATTAAATGTAACAATATAAACTCAAAGACWTTTTTWAATATTTTTATTTTTAAATACCCTAGTAGTAGTTAAAATATCGGAAATACAAAAATATATTTTGTCTAMATTCAATATTGTCCATATATAAGAAGATAGCAAATACCAGAATATCATGATATTCTCTTAAATACCTACCTACGAATAATTTATAAAGAATACATTTATAGTGGAAAATTGTTATGTTATTGCCAACATTTGTATTTATATATACATCACATATATTCTAAAAATGAAATTAACTATTACTTTTTTGTGGAAATATATAATATTATAATATATATATTTTTTTATTATTTTAATGAAAATCAACTAAACTAAAACACAATATTTTTATTTACAAGTTGATACCTACTCTCTAAAATCMAATCTATCTATCTGTTCATAATCTTTTAACATTATTTAGTCAATACCTATTGTTTACGTACTAATGGAGAAGAAGACGAGAACTTCATACGAATCTGTTTTTCGGTTCATCAAAAATAATTTATTACCAACATTAACACCAAGTGTTATTATTACGGACTACGAGACAGCATTGAGAGATGTGTTAATGTCAGTGTTTCCAGGTGCCCRTTCTGTGGGTTGCTGGTTCCATCATAACCAGGTAAAAATAATACCTATCAAAGTATCTACCTAGTTTTTCATATGACAAAAAAAAGATTAAATCATGATTTTTACTATGTATTTTTTTATCAGATTTGTGTAAGTATTAATTATAATGATTGTTTTTGTAAAGGCCCTATGGAAAAAAATGAAAAGTTTACAATATTTAAATTATATCAACAACAACGATAATGCAAAAAAAGTATTCCGATTATTAATGTGCCTTCCACTGTTACCGGCTCAAAGCATGGAAACTGGATTCATGTTAATCAGAGCATTTGTTATTAACCATCAAGTCAATTTAGAACGGTTAGGGRAGAATGGGGGAATACCGGTCAGTGGGTAATACCGGTCACTAACATTTAAACAAAACTATCATATTTGAGGTTATACAAACACTTTTGATTAATATCGTAGGTTAATATCGAATTATGATATCGTTATCTAAAAATTTAATATGGCGTGCTATTCGTATGATTTTTTCCCGAACAAAAATGTRATAACATTTCTTATCACATTTCACTACTAAAATCTGAACACTTAATCATCCTTGTAAGGTAAGATTTTTTCCTTTTTCTTTACTTTGTTTTAGTAGAATATAATCCTTAATACATACAGAATATGTTCCTATACTTAATCTAGTCCTATTTATCATCAAATTAATGTTTTAGTCATTTGTGTAAAACATATACGAAAGGGGTAATACCAGTCAAAGTGTGTGGGGTAATACCGGTCAATTATCATATTATATATCCCGACCGGTATTGCCCCATTTATATTTTAGTGCACAATTAAAATGCAATATTAATTAACAAATTAATAATAATATATCGTTATTAATTTGTTTATTTTTTTAAATATAGTTCTCTACCTAGAAATTTGTTTATTATCATTGAATAATTAAGTATATTTTTACTTAGATGCCGCGTAAGTATGTTAGAGTTACAAATCGAGGTGATTGGTCACATGAAAACTTATTAAATGCTATGAGTGCAATTTCCAATAAGGACTCATTAGAAAAGCCTCAAAAGCCTATGGTATTCCGTTCAGCACACTCCAAGAAAGGATTAAAAAGGGCCAAACCCAAATTTTAAATCTTGGGCGTAAACCTGTATTTTGTATTGATCTAGAAAATGATATGACTGAACATATAAAAGATTTGGCAAAACTATTTTATGGAATTACACCTTTGCAATTAAGAAGTGCTGCTTTTACGTTTGCAGAAGATAACAAACTTGAACACAATTTTAATAGTAGTCTTAAACTTGCGGGAATAGATTGGTTTTATAATTTTATTAGACGTAATCCATCAATAACCATTAGAAAACCTGAAGCAACCAGTATTAGTCGTATAACAGCTTTTAACAAAACTGAAGTTTCACTTTTTTTTGAAAATCTTGAGATGTTAATGGAAAAGTATTCATTTGTTTCTTCSCGCATTTTTAATATGGACGAAACCGGAATTTCCACCGTACAAGACYCAGGAAGAATAATAGCACCTAAAGGCCAAAAACGTGTAGGTTCTGTCACGAGCTGGGAAAGTGATAAAAACGTAACTGTTATTTGTTCCATGAGTGCGTCAGGTACATTTGTTCCTCCTATATTTATTTTCCCAAGAAAGAGAATGTGTCATCAATTACAAAGAAATGGTCCTCCAGGTGCAGTATATCCGTGTACCAAAAACGGGTGGTCCAATGAGGATATTTTCCTTGTTTGGTTACAGCATTTTGTTAATCATACGAAACCATCAACGGCGGAACCCGTTCTCCTTATATTAGACAACCATGGAAGCCATATTAATTTGCCTGCTTATGATTTTTGTAAAAATAATAATGTAATTATGTTGTCATTGCCACCACATACCTCACATCGAATGCAACCTCTTGATGTCACATTTTTTGGACCACTAAAGCAGGCATTTAAAAGAGAATGTGATTTATTTATGAAGTCAAATTCACTTGTAAAAATAACCCCGTATGATTTGGCTGAACTGTTTAATAAAGCATATTCTATAGTGGCAACAATACAAAAAGGTGTATCTGGGTTTAGTTCGACAGGAATATATCCAATGAACCCAAATATTTTTACCGAAGAGGATTTTTTCGCAGCAAACACATTTGCTACTGACGATACCAACACCTTATCTCCAGTTGTTATTGAAATGAATTCTACTTCTGAAGAAC